TTAATAATTTACACAAGACAAAAATTGTTAGAAAGAAAGTTAATAATATTGTATTCGACTGTACTCAATGTAATGTATGTAGAAGTTTACAATCAAATTTAATGGTTTTCTAGGTCAAAAGTCAAGCAAAAATTGGACTGATATTGGGCACTATTTCAAGCACAATTTTTTGAGACGTAAATTGTACCTATAGCTCGTTCGATATTCGCGCACTGAGGTGAGTATGCTGGGCGTAGAACCTACGCCCAGCATACTCACTGAACGAAGCCTATAACTCCGAAGTTATTCGAGCACTGTTTTTTCTTTTTGGGCACCGTTTGGCACTATTTGGGAACTATTTTTTGAAGTATGAATTATGTTTGAAGCGTATACAGATTCTCCGGACGGAGGTGAGTATGCTGGGCGAAACCTTCGTCCAGCATACTCATCGAACTATGGCTATAACTTCGCAAGTACAAGAGCACTATTTTTTTCCTTTGGGCACTATTTAGCACTATTTCAGAACAGTTTTTTGACATTCATGAAATATCAGGATTCCATGGTGAGTATGCTGGACGAAGGGACACTAATTATTACTGAATTGGTTTCTAAAAAACTAAATCATAAGCATAATACAGTATGTGTGTGTGTATGTAAATTTGTTCTTATTTTAATTACCTAACTACTGATATTTTTTTGCGATCTTCATTTCATAAATAGTTTGGATAAGATCGGATGTACGCCAAAGAGACTAACAATGTTTTTCTCCAGAATATTTTGGTTTCAAAACTGTATTGTTCCGTTAGCAATCGCTCATAATCTGCAGTTGATGAGTCAGTCCAAAGACATGAAGCGTGAACTGTCAATTTAACGTCATCATGTGAAATCATTATTTCTATCATCACATTTGACGACATTTCTTTGAATTACAAAACGAAGGCCACGCCCACATGACCGCGAACCAATAAACGGCAATAAATAGGCGACATCGTAATTATTACGTCATAAACCCTTTCAATACAATCTTTGATAAATGGAGTCACAATAGAGCAGCATAATTTATTGTTGTATGGCCAAACAGTGTCTATGGTCACAACTACGTATCAACACTATGGCTTTGAAACTACAACGTTTGAAAAAAGAACACACAGAGTACAATCGCGAACGTTAGTGTTCCGCTAATAAGGTCAGTGACCTTTGAGACGGTGTTCATTTCGATTGCAATCGCTTTGTGTTTTAATTAAGTGTGGAGCTATCGATGTGTTCTGTTGATTGTCGAGATAATATCTTAATGTAAATAATTTCTTAATCTGAGCTATCGAGCTTCGAATCGAAAGTAGGTTAAATGTGCGGACGTTAGTTATGCGTAATCAAAGAATGAAATTTAAAGTCACAAAGCTCTAGTGTCGATAGAAGCTATTGTAAGTAGTAGCCAAAGTTATAGACCCGTGTCAAAGGCATACAAATGCACCACCTAATCGATTGAGACCTAATTTGAATATGAAAAAGACATCGATTTACAATGTCCAAACACTTCAAAGAAGCAAGTTATTGAATAATAAAAGATAATTTGAGTGTTGGCTTTCGCACTATTGTTGGTGATGATACAAGAGTTCATCGACCCGCGTTTATAAAATCGTGATGCAGATGAATAAAAATGGAGTATAATTTTGCATATCTATTGATGTGTCGTATTATATGTGTAAATTCCTATTCTGGGCCTTTTATTGTATGCTTTAGGACGGTAATAGGCGCGTGCCTTTAAAATTAACATAAAATCCAGCTTACGAGCTATTGAACTATTGACAGATGCTAATATTAAACGTTGTGACACTTATTTGTATTGTATATTTTGTCAAGCATCTTAAGTTACTATTAAGTTAAAGTTATGGGGATTATCTACGGTGTATGTGACGGTTATAAGCGACTTAAGACTTTATTAGGAGCTTTTAAAGTCTTTTTTGAGTTGTTGGTTGTCTGTTAGAGTAAGTTACAAAGTGCTATGTGATAATTTCTGCTCATTGCAGTTTTGTTTTTGAAAGGTGTTGAGCGTTTTATGTTTCCTAATTCGAATATTCTTTAATAATATTTAGGAGTAATAATTTATATACGTCATTAAATGCATCCAACCAACTCAGAAAATAAATTATTATGTTTTCGGCTTACTCACGTAGTAATTTGACGAGGAACTCGACTAGTTTCAAGCCATGCTAGAGGCTCATATTACCCGAGCGTACGGCGCGTCGCGTTCCGCGCGCGCCTCAAAGAGCCATCAGACCACCACAGATGGGGCCCAATAGGGCTGTTGCCGATTCGGAGTCGCGGAGAACCCAATGGGTTACCGGGGCTCCGGCTTGACGTGCAGGAGAAGGAATGGGGTGGTTTTTAGTCAGTAAGAGTCTGACACTCCCTTCCGTCTCACCCAGGCGGGAGCAGTCATTCGATGATTTTCCCCCCTTAAAAAAAATAAATAAAATACTCACGAAAGTTACAATACAACTCAGAAAATGATCATTAAGAATAACGCATTCCTATTTATGTTTATATTAAAAACACGAAAAGAATCTTATGAACTGACCATAGTTGGGAGACTGTTAATGACTTTTTTTGACATCCGCTCACATACATAACATCACGCCTTTTATCCTCGAAGGGGTGGGCAGAGGTTCACATTATGCCACTGTCCAATGTAACACCCACTTTTCACTATTTGTTATGAGCCCCATGTAATAGGGGGTGAGCATATTGCCATATACCGGGCACAATTCTAGACTCCGTGCTACTACTGAGGTTTTTTTTTATAAACCCAGTAATACTTTGCCCGAGAATGTACAATGTGTTTTGATTAAATGAAAACATAAAATGTTCGGTATGTTAGTGTAATATCCTATGTGGAAATAATAAATTAGTGGATTTGAGCGAGATTGCGCATGCCCAGTGCGCGCGATGTCCGGCCACTAGCCGTAATATTATACCGATGCGCAGACGCCGAGGACAGTGGGAAAATATGGAACATTTTTAGAAAATATATTATGTTAATTCAGATCCTGGAATGTTTCATTTATTTGCATATCTTAATATATTTGCATCTAATTTTATAATATAATAAATCAAATTACGAATAAATTATGATTACAATTTGCTTATTTTTGACAGGATGTTAAGAAAACAAGAATAGTTCATAAATGTCATCCTTATGGTCAGTTCTCATGATTAGTTACTGAAGAATAAATTAAATGAACAATACGAATATTTTATTATGTAAATAATGATAATACCAGTAGCATATTGACTTCGTCATAATTCGTCAAGTCAGTTTTTTATTTCCTTAGGTATTACATTATAATAATAATATTCATGTCTATTGATTTCGATGTCAGAAAATAATTTAGATATTAACTCCTATCAAACTGTAGGTATATAAAATACAGTCTCAAATGGCTTATCAACCAACTGAACAGATGACTACTGAAATTGACTTATGAGTTGGTGTTCAGCCATGACTATGAATCGCTTGCAACAATTCCAGAACATCAGCCACTTAAAACAAATAAAAATAATTAGTACAACACTAATTTATTTATTAAATTAACCACATTAAAGGGCATAATTTGGCCGCGTCGCCCCGTCGCGCTCAGCAGCGCGTGCAACCGCGCGCGCGCAGGAAGGCTCGTCTCATCTCGCAGGATGCGGCGCGCGCTGTGACCTACCGATAGTAAACCGATCTATCTCACCAGAGATATCCCCTTACTCTATGGATATGTGGTCACGTTAGAAGTTTTTTTCTTTAATTAAGCTATTTGTATTTAGTTTCACGTTTGGGTGTTACAACTAACGAGGAAGTTTTAATTGAGAGAGAAAGAGAAAGGACTTTCGGGATTTATTTTTGCATCAGGCAGCCTTATAAGGAATTAACTCGTCGAGTACCGGTTTTGTAGACACAATTATAGAACAATAGGTTGCGGTCACCGGTGACCGCTTGGTATTTGACAGTTTAATATGTGGTTGTGAGGTTGGCTGTCTTATCGTTCTTACTATAACACTTAAAACGGGTGAATTGTAATTAATCTTACTACTTACATTTCAAAGTTGGTGTCAAAACATGGATTGCATTGGGGAGAACCCGTAGAAAAGTTACTATTACCACAAAATATTGATACCTATATAAAGAATGGGAAAATTTTAGAACTGTAAACGGAAAAAAATTAGCACCAAAGAACCTTGTACTTTAATTTTTTAGATTCTCGTGTTTTTGCAACAGATATACCAGCTAAAGGTAGCAACATAGTATGCAAATATATGCACATATAATAAAATATAACATTCTTTTTCCGTCGCTGCCGTGCCGGATGCTTCAGGCCGCGGACGGGCTAATGGGCGCGCTTCCGACACGTGACGGTGACGCGACGGCTCCGAGCCGTGACGCACGCCGTCTTGTATGCGACATGATGCACTTTACGTAACTATTGTTTTATATACAGCCATATTAACGCAATAAGTAAAAGTTAATCTTATTTCTTGTATGTTATAGAGTTAATTTTTCAATAAAATGTGATATGGATTTTTTTAAAGAAATGGAAAATGTACTATATTTTATGCCCATTAAAGTTCAGAATGCTGTCTTGCGTATGAAATGTACTTGATGCAATTTTAAATTAGAAGAATATTGACTAATTTGCGATCCTTATTATGTTTGTACGCAAGTTAAAATTGCGAGGTTGACTATCACGACACTGTTGGATAGGTACTTACATGTACTGTGTAATTTTTATTTTTGAAAGAGTTATAGAAGTTCATAATAAGGAGAGAACATGAAAAACATAACATGACAATTACTCGTATGGTTCTCAGCCCGTTAGATTTTCACGAGAAAATAATAGCTAGTTACTCTGAGGCCATCCTAACAATCCTCAGACATGAGGCACTGACCTGGGAGTAACGTAATATGTCTAATTAATCAACTAAATACGCAGAAGACCAAGGATTTAATCACTATAAATAGTAACAGGTATTGTACTTACTGACAGTATTGACAGCCGCGTCGGTCTAGTGCTCATGCGCGGATGCTGCGCAGGCGCGCCGCCGGAAACGGAAGTCACGGGCGCGTTCGCTCGCTCATCTGTGGCAATATGGCGGAATCATAGGTTGGTCACACTGCTCGTTATGTGGTACCGGTAATTAAATATTTGAGGTGGGTACTGTTTTGGTTGATACAGGTACATTTTTGGCGTTTTGTGGTTATTTCAGAGCATCTCTGAATGAAAACAAGTGTAAAGGAAGATATGTTAAAACAGATCCTACAATATTTATTCAAGTTTTTTTGTGCAGATGTAGGCCATTTTGAGATGAAAGACAGTTTTCCAAATACAAAAACAGATCTTGGCCTTGAGTCTATTTACCAGCTACATAGTTTATAAAATATACTATTAGTTTATGATGACAAAATGCATTAAGCTATAATGTGATCGAAATCGACCTCTAGAGGCAATACTTTGTCACATAATAAGATAGACAACCAGGTTTGAATAAATAACAATTCATGTTAACTCGTCGAGTACGGTTTTGTAGACACAATTATAGAACAATAGGTTGCGGTCACCGGTGACCGCTTGGTGTTTGACAGTTTAATTACGTATATAGTCCATATGAATCATTATAATTGTAGCTGCTTTTCAGAAGTATAAGATGCATTTATATCCAGTAGGTAAACTCACTCTGACCTCACGATGCCCCGCGGTCAGACATACCTACTTTTACAAAAAGTGTCACCTCGTTCTCTAGGTACTTTCATTCCGTGAATTAATGGAAAGCGTCTGGAAGCGTGACATTAGCGGGGCGTGACCCCGCGCCGTGACCCGTCGTCGCGCCGTGAAATCCGTCAAATCGCCGTGCGCCCGCGCAAAGACATGCCCGTGCTTTACGGTCACTCGAGAGGCTTGTTTAGACTTTACGACTTTTGTTGTTGTTTATAATTAAAATTTTAAAGTGTTTATAGACGAGAAACAAATAAAGATGTCTTGGTATTTATGTAAATAAAAATAGTTGTTGAATTTATGAATGGTGTATTTTCACGTCCTCATGGTATGGTTAGTAGGTAGTGGGATTGTTTTCGGGCTTCCAGTCTTAGTAGGACCATAAGGTTTTATCAAGCGGCAGAGATTCGTCTTAATCATCATTCATCTTCATTATTGCTCGTAACAAACATTCTTAATCTGCTGTTGATACTGTCCAGTAGAAAAAGCCAAATACAATATAGCTGGATTCCTCATAATTGAGACTAAGAAATCGTATCGTAGCCCAATCGTGTCGTATCATATGAACAGGCTCTGATGGCTAGTGCGGTGACAAGCGTACGAGTATGTGACCGCCGAGCGTCGACTCTCGCACGCTCCTAATCGATCAGCAAATTAGGGATGACCACGCCACACTTTTCCGATAATTACTATAATAATGTGACCGTAATGTGCAGCGGTGCGATTTAATTACGCCTCATTGAGGAACATTTCGGAGTTCGTTGTGTTAATGGGAGTTTTTTGGACTGATTATTTTATTTTATTACACATACATTTTGCGTGGAAGTTTGTGACTTCTACTGTTAAAGGGCCTTCTTAGTTCTTATTAGTTCTTATGAATGGTATTTGAGATAGAGGTCATCTTCTTTGATTGGAGAAAAAAGAGTACCTAAGTTAACTCGTCGAGTACCGTCATTATAGACACAATTTAGAACCGGTCGCGGTCACCGGTGACCGCTTTGTGTTTGACTGTTTAAACAGTCGCACTGCACTGTAAATGTCTACATAGAAAATTGAATATATTGAAATACTTTTAATAAAAAAAAATATGATGTGACGATGATATTCTTGCTTAAAATATTGTTTATCAGTTTCTTCCTATAGTGTTATCGATAATTCAAAAAGGGAAATTCAGAGACGTAAACATCTCTAAATTATTAACTTGCAACAAAATACAACTTTGAGAACTTCCATTCAATTATCTTTTTAAATAATTTCTTCTTCTTCTTACAATTTTATCTATTTTTGAAGTTTTACACGTGGAGGAAAATGATTTATTTACAGAATTATATATGAGATACATATTTCATTACCTAATGTTTTTTATATTTCAGTGTTCCTAGAAGCTAGACATGTAAGTAGTTTTAGTTTAATATTTCAAACAAAAAAACATGAGGTAAAATATGATTAATACTTAGCTATTAAATTTGCGAAACCTAACACTAAGAATGTAATATAATCATTTTCATTGGTGATCTTTTTTAATAGTACAGATATTTGTTATACCTACTACATAAGTACCTTATTCATCTACATTTTCTACGGAAACTGCGCATTGTGAGTAGGTACTAACTAGTTTTCGATCATCAATATTGTCAGGCTATAGACCAGTTGGATTGTCATCACTGCGAGGACCGCCCTGAGGACACGGTGGAACACACGGTGGGAGAATGCCCTTCGTGGGCTGAGCACCGCCGTGTCCTCAGGGAAGTGATCGGCGATGGCGACCTCTCGCGTCCGGGCCTAGTGCAGGCCATGATGCGGAGCGAGGGGGATTGGGATGCCGTCTCCTCCTTTTGCGAAGCAGTCATGCTAGCTAAGGAGGAGGCGGGACGCGTGAGGCAGCGAAGCGCTGCCTCCTCGCAACCCAGCCATCGCGAAGGACACACCGGGCGTCGGGGATCGCGGGACGATCTCCGGCCACCGTAAGCGCGGGCCTGCGGACGGCGAGCATGGGTGGCTCCCCGTCCGACCAGAAACAGACCCGAGCGTACGGCGCGTCGCGTTCCGCGCGCGCCTCAAAGAGCCATCAGACCACCACAGATGGGGCCCAATAGGGCCGATGCCGATTCGGAGTCGCGGAGAACCTAACGGGTAACCGGGGCTCCGGCTCGACGTGCAGGAGAAGGAACGGGGTGGTTTTTAGTCAGTAAGAGTCTGACACTCCCTCCCGCCTCACCCAGGCGGG